GCAGGTGTCCCCCGCCCCCGGCAGACTACCTAGTGGATCTCGGATGTCCTTTCTCATCAGGGAAGCAGAAGTTCACATGGGTGGGGTGGCTGCCCGATGCCAACAGCAAGTTAAGGCACCTGGATTTGAGTTCTTAATACTTGCTCAGTTCCCAGCCAAGCTTTCCTGACCAACCTGGACTACCTTCCGGGCTCCAGATAATTCTAATGAGTCTAATTTGTAAGTGTACTTGCTGAGACCTTAATACACACCGGTTCTGAGCACGTAACAAGTGCTGGGTCATTTGTCCTCCCAACAATCCTAAGAGGTGAGTACTCTCATTAATATTCATATGGGGAAACCGAGGCACAGAAACATTTAAGTAACTTACCTCAGATCCGGTAACTGCTAAGCAGCTGAATCAGGGTTGGAACAAGGCAGCGGTGGGCACTAAGCCCCCTGAACCGTGTGAGTGTCGGGTGGGGACAGGGAGTTTCCAGGACAGGGGTAGGAGGGCGGAAGGGGAGTTCTCCGAGGGGAACAGAGGCTTGTGCACGCCCTCCAGAGCACTGGTGGAATCTGCGCGCACACACACAGGAAGCAGCCTGACCTGGAGTCTTGAGACTGGAGGTTTCAGCTCCTTTCTGCCCTGACCTTGCTGTGTGACCTTAGGCTAATTGCACACACCCTTCTCTGGGCCTTGGGTTTTGTCATCTGAAGCATGAATCAAGACCTCCAGGCCCATCCCTCCCCTTTCCTAGATGTTTCTTTCATTTCTAGATCAACCCCCTCTACCCCCCACTCCCAGGCAGTAAGGCAGGGGAGGGACTGGACGGACTGGAGAGGGGGCAGTGGAAGGAGTCTCTGGTCTCTAAAAGCCTAGGAATAGCTGGAAATCCCTCCCTCCCCTCTTCCAGGCCTGAGCTAGTGTTTGAGCCCCACCCACCTCGCTTCCCAGGGCCTGGCGGGACCAGGCTCCCACCACATTCTCCAGAGACCCGGCCTTGTTTAGAAAGTGTCTCCTTTGGAGCCTGAGTCACCGGATCCCTGGGTGGTCTGGGGGAAACCGCAGAGTTACTGCGAGTACCTTACCATGACTGGGAGAGCAGGGAGGGGGGTGGATCCTGCTGCCCCTCTGTGACCTCGGCTACTCAGCCTCTTGTGTCTGGGACTCGGTTTCCCCACCTGTAAACTCAGGGGCTGGAAGGGGAGTCTCAGACACACACCCCCGCCCCGACACTCGCGGCCACCCAAGGACCTCAGGGAGGTCCTCAGCCTCGGGACAGGGCAAGCCTGGGAGCACGAGAGCTGTGAGGTCAATGGCCCGGGGCCCGGGAACTCAGTGATCTCCTCTGGTAGACTGTCCCTGAGGGACAGGCCTGCTCCCGCCCAGCTGATGATAACGAGCACCCAGGAGGAGCCGCAGCTGGCCTCTGACACAGAGGGCTTGTTCTTTCCCCCAGGGATAGCGGGGAAAATGACAGCATTCATGTAAGCATCAGTTTCTCCATCTGAAAAGGGGGCATGACTGAGACCATGCCGGCAGAGATGCTCCTGGAGACCAGTTCCTAGCGTGTAGAAAGGGCTCACAAACAGGGCCTGTTACTAGTTATTGCCTAGAAGAAAGAAAAGGAAGAAGAAAAACCTAGTGACTCCTCGCCCAGCCTCACATCAAACAGCTCAGTTCGGTTCAGTGCCGGAAAGGAGGACCAAGGCCTGACAGTATAGGAGAGCAGAGCGGGGGGCAGGGATGTTGTGTCCTCAGGCACAGGCCTGAGGGTGGCAGCTGGGAGTGAAAGGGTCTGGCCTGGCAGGGGAATCCGGAGGTGGTTTTCCTTGAACAGTATGGCCCTTAAGGCATCATTCTAGAATCAATGTCATCTGGCTGCGTGGGCACCCTGAGAATCTGGAACATGGCAAAAGGAAGTCACTATCTGGTCTGCACAGAGTATACCTTGTGGTGGGATGCAGGCAATCCGGGTCATATCCGAACTTCCACAATTAAGGGATTGAGGTAAGCACATCCCTGCTCTGGGCCTCAGTTTCCTCATCTATGAAATGGGTGGGAGTGTCAATCCCTTTCCCTCTTGTTCCCCGATAAAGGGGGATTGTGATCATTACTTGTGGGGTGACAGGCTGCTTCTTCTGAGAACAAAGAATCCCTCTCAAGAGACTGGTGTTGGTGAGCCCTATGCACTGGGGAGCCCAGGTGGGTGCAGGGCTCAGCCCACTCATTCCTGCTCACATCCCAGCCCTCCTGCTGGAAAGCCCCTACAGAGAGCTTTCTAAAGGCCCTCACAGGACACCTGGGTGGCTCAGTCAGTTAAGCATCTGCCTTCAGCTCAGGTCATGATCCTAAGGTCCTGGGATTGAGTCCTGCATTGGACTTCTTGCTCAGCGGGGAACTGCTTCTCCCTCTCCTGCTGCTCCCCCGACTTGCGCTTTCTTGTTGACAAATAAATAAATAAAAATCTTAAAAAATCCCACAAAGGCCCGCACAGATCACCTCCCCGGCCCACTCAGAAACCAGGCACCCACTCCCCACACCTGTCACCCCAGCTCCTCATCCTGACATCTAAGGGCCTGCCTCCCTTCCCAGTCCCGACCCTGTGTTACTAACAGCTGACATATGCTGACGATGGACCAGGAACGGTGTGATGTCCTTATTTCTCCCAATTCAAACCTACTTCTCAGGCAGGAGCAGTTTTATCACCATCTTATATCCCCTTATGGTAACACTGAGGCACATGGAGAAGTCTCCAGAGTCGGTCTAGTGGCAGACACCAGATTTAAACCTGGCTCCAGAGCAGGAGTGTCTGGAGACACTTCTCCCCACCTCCTAGCTGTTGCACGCAATGGATACCTCCTGGTCTCTTCCAGTCCCACTGCGTCACCCCTTTGCTCCTGTCCTCTCCACCACCCTCAGCCTGTCACTTGGCCGTGAGTACTGGAGCCTAACACCTCCACAGAACTGGCTCCTCGTTCCATCTTGTACTCCACTAACTGCCTGAGCCTGAAGGGCCCCCCCCACCCCACACTGACCCTACACCAAGATCCCCGGTGGGCATCATCAGGACAGGGCCTCGGCGTGGGGCGTCCTGCTATGTCCAGGGCTTGGCAACATCAGAGGCACCAGTGTGCCTCCATATGGGGACAGGATTAGCTGGGGTGGGGAAGAGTTCATCAGTAAATAACTTTGGGAAACAAAGTCAAATGGTGTATTTCTCAGAGGATGTGGTGGCCATGATCCCGCCTCCTAACAGTCACAGTCTCGGGCAGTCCCTCCCTCCTCGTCATCGAGAACGGTTCGATCGATAACGGAATGTGGCGAAGGGATGCATGTCACTTTCGAGCCAAGGTGATAAAGGATGGCAGCTTCACTCTTGGTCCCTCTCATTTGGGTCGTCTGCTCTGGGGGAAGCCATGTCATGAGTAGGCCGGTGGAGAGGCCTGTGTGGTGAGGGACTGAGGCCTCCAGCCAACAGCCACGTGAGCGAGCTTGGAAGCGGGTCGTCCAGCTCCGGGCAAGCCTCAGATGACTACAGCCCTGGCGGACAGCTTGACTACAGCCTCACGAGACCCTGGACCAGAACCGCCCAGCTGAGCGGCTCCTGCATTCCTGAACCCAGAGACTGTGAGAGATAAGGAATGTTAGTTTCAAGCTGCTACGATTTAAGATAATTTATTACGCAGCAATAGATAATACACATGACTTCTCCAAGCACTTAATATGCTAATGTAAATCTCCAAGAAAGAAGATATACAATGTAACATTCCCCTTAGTTATCTGGCCAAGGAAGCCGCCTTTTTTTTTTTGAGTTTTCTCAAGAGAGAAAACTCATTTAATATGGCTCTGGTCCTACAAGTAAATGTGACTTCTAACCCTGATCTGTCACGAGCTAGTCCTTTGCTCTTCCAGAATCTCCACTTTTCCCTTTTATAGAGTAGAAACAACCAACCTGCCTTTGCATAAATCATAAATACAACCCCATATGGCCCTAGTTCTGAGCTCTTTGGTGAGTGGGGGGAGAGCGGCTTGTCTAGGTCTTAAAAGGACCCTCACCCTGGGGCTCAGGTGGGTTTTTGAAGGCAGAAGGTGGGCCTGAGGCCCATTATCTTTTTCTTCCTCAGGCCATTACCCCAGAGTGGTGAAAATAAGTGTCTTCTTTCAGCTTGTGCACAATGCAGAGATGGGAGACATGGATCTGTGCCTCCCCCATCAGACTGGGAGAACTTCTACCGCCATATACACCCCCCCATCCTGAGGATTCAGTGCAGCCATGGGCAGGAGGGAGCACCAGAACCTTCTCTGGCCTCAACAGTAAACATATGCCCTTCCTCCCTTCTCAATTTATCCCCTCTACTCTTTCCCTGGTAAAAGACTGAGATCAAGTTTCAGGATGCTGGATGGGTCAAAGACCCACGGGAGCCCGGCACATCCCTCTTTATTAAAAAGAAGACATTTAAAAAAAAAAAAAATCATAATGCGAATACTTTATTATCAATGAGTGACTGGTATTAGCTTTTTGTCTGGGCATTAACATTTGAGAAACCATACACCAAACCCAGGCTTTTCCACCTAGCTCTGCTGTATTGTTTTCTTTAAAAAAACAAAAACAAGAACAAAACAAAACGAAACAAAACCACAAACACACAACAAAACGAAAACCAAAGAATAATAATAAAGGAGGAAGGAGGAGAAGAAAGAAAATATATTTGTATTGAAAGAATTAGAAGCCAAAGTGCGTCTTTCTTGTTTTGTCCATATACACACATTGCACCATACATAAATAATTACATTGTAAAAATGACTCCATAATTACAAGTATAATATATATTTCCATATAATATATAAAACTTTATATTAAATCTAGGTAGATGATATTTGGGGGGGAGGGGTGTTGTCCGTGGGGGGGGGGGG